CAGTATAGGAGGATTAACTGTTCACATGCAGTTTAAACATCAAAGTGTTTGTATGAAGTCATGGAAAATAAGTAATTTGTTTTGTCATTCTCTGTGAAAACATAGAACGCCCCGTTTTAAAGTAAATAATCTTTATTTTAAAACCAGAAAGATTAGTAGCACTCAGTGTGTCAAAGAGCACTGCTGTTAAGTAAAATGCCATTAATACTGCCTCAGACAGTACAATGAGTGTTTTTTCCTCTTATCAGTACCATCAGTGCACTGAGTCAGTACCTGCTGTTGCTTGTTATACATAAGCAGACAGATGTGATTGCTGTCTTTAGGATTATTTTTATTCATTATGGCATATGGCTTTCTGATTTCTGGGAAAAAAACTTTACAGTATTTAATTGGCCTCTGTATCAGGTGCTTCTAACATCCTTTTCCACATTTTATCTATGTGGCTAAATCTATCTTTTTAATAGAATAGAGTGTAGTCATGAATGATACAAGTATGGCATTTGAACCATCTTGAGGAGGGTGCTGTAATTTTCATTAATTACTAGACCAGTTCTATGGGCCAGTTAAAAGCTCTTTCATCATGTTTCCCGCACATTCTTCAATGTAGTTCTTCATTTCCACCTTCTTTATTGAACCTCCCCTAACAATAAACATTACTTTTTTTCTGTTTTTATTTGCACATTACTACCATTCTTTTCATTTATTTTATGGAAAAGACATACATTTCTGTGTCCCTGAAAATGTTAGTGTGTGAATTAACCTATTCAAGTCCCTCAGACTGTTCAGAAGACTGTGAGAATTTTACAATATAAAAAGAACCATTCTGGTCAAGACCAAAGGTCACCCTAGCCCAGCTATTGACATCGCAACAATGGCCAAAGTAAAATGCTTAGGGAAGACTGTATGAACAGGACTGACATGTATTTTCTTTCCCATTCATTCTTCTGATTCCAGCCATTCAAAGCTCAAAGGCTGCCAGATGTAGATGTAGTTGCTGTGAATTTGGAACCATTCTATAGTCTTTCTCATTCATGAACTTGCCCAGTTTTCTGCTTAAAATCATGTAAAATTTTCTATCTTTATGTGACTTCTGATTTTATACCAATTGGTAATTAATCCTCTCAGGCATCTTTCTTCCTGGCTGAAGAGTCCTGTTCTTTAGAGTATTGTGTTTGGAAACAGCACTCCATGGCTCTGAAAATTCTTGCTTAACTTCTCTGACCTTTCCCTATTTCCCTTTTGAAATAAAATCCACATCTGCACTCAGCAGTCAAGATGCAATTGGATTAATGATCTGGGACAGTTATATTCTCTGGCTCTTTTTTCCTTTCCTGTTTATATTGAGTGTTCATTTTACTTTTCTGATTGATACTGAGCAGTGTATTAGCAGATTCCTGATAATATGCATGATCTGCTTCCTGAGCAGCAACAGAATTACCTTAGAGCCCATCATTTTGGATGTGAAGTTAGGTTTAAACTTTAGGAGTCTAAATCACCTTTCAGAAATCCAAGTAGCCTGTACCATTCTCTATACACATGATTCTCAACAATACCAAAAAAAAACCAAGGACTGAATATGCATCTAACCCAAAGGCTGGTCTTCTGCTTTCAGGATTGTATTTAATAATGTAACTAATAAGGACTAGCAGAGAAACAGGTAATGTTTTTTTATCACTACAAAAAGTGCATGAAATAGAGGGGATATATTTAGGAGACACTTTGGAAGAACAGATGATTAACATCCTCCTTAAATCCATTTACAGACAGTGTTGACATGAAGTCTTGGGCATTGAAATTAGAGAAGGAATTGAAAAATGAATGGCTTAAGGCATAGACTTACACCTAGGGTCTGAGTTCAGTTTTATGAGAACAGATCACAGGTCATCTGTATTAAAACAGGGTGAGTAAATAGATAGAGAAATATATCTATATACATAATATCTTTGCATGCATATAATTGCAGCAACAAGAATGAGTATCATATTCTCTATCTAATTTAGTTTATTGGTACTGAATATTGACTACAAGTTCAGTCCAAATTAGCTGCAAATGAATCCCATTGTTTATGAAATTTGACCTTTGTTTGTTATGAATATTTCTTAAAACCTTAAAAACAAAATGTTTGAAAGTAACAATAAGGCAGACATCACTGCTTTTAAACAGATGGTATGTCTTCATTTAGGTTACCTTGTTAGTTTCTGATTCTCCACTCCTCACTCCTAGTCTCTTATCTTTTTGAAGTTGATGCCACTTTGCAGAGAAGCTCCCATTGATTTTTCTTCTCTTGTTGTGACTGAAACTTTTAGTCTTTTCAGGTCTTAAGTCTGGGATCTAAATGGAATGTTTTTCTTGGTAGTCAGATTGAGATTTTCCAGAACTAGTAACAGAGCTTTTGTAGTAAGAGCACATTATCTTGGTTTGCACCGTCTTTACAACATAATATTTGATTTCAGGATTGATGGATTTTATTTATTTTAAGATTTTGCTTTAAAGTACCAAGGTAGTAATATGGTTAATGAAGCCCATTACTGGTAGATTGAATACCAGACTATCAGAACCTTATCCAAAGAAGTGTGATTTTGAGAATTGTGGAGGAAATACTAACTGTTGTTCAGAAAGTACAAACAATTCTGGTTTTACTTGCTCTTTGGCAATAATAGAAGGGCAGCCTTTGAGAAGCTGCAGAGGCATCTGACCTGTGGGACATGACTGTTCTTTGTGCATGATCAACCAACTTCATCTGCACACAAAACCAAAACCATGATATTTATTTTCTTCAGTTCTTTCCAGTTTGCAATAGACTACATTTTTTGTGTGATGGGTGTGAATGTGAAATCTTATTGTTGAGTCCAACCCTAACTCTTCCTAGAGTGGTTATTAATTTTTCAGTCGTACATACCATATGCCAAATCTGAAAATAGGAGATTTGATTGTTCTATATTTAGCTAAGTACATATACTTTTATTAAAAAAAATAATCATTGACTCACAGAATTATACTGATTTGGAAGGGACCTTTAAGGATCATTGAGTCTTACTCCTCTCCTGTCCCTGCACAGCACCATCCCCAAGAGTCACCCCATGTGCCCAAGAGCATTGTCCAAACTCTTCTTGAATTCTGGCTTGGTGCTGTGACCACTTTCCCTGAGGAGCCTGTTCCAGTGCCTAACCACCCTCTGGGTGAAGACGCTTCTTCTAATATCCAACTTACCCCTTCCCTGACACAACTTTAGGCCATTTCCTCGGGCCCTGTTACTGTCTTCATCAGAGAGAAAATATCAGCGCCTGCCCCTACTCTTCCTCTTACGAGGAAGTTACTCCTCACATGGCTTCCCCTCAAGGTCTTTCACCATCTTCATTGCCCTCCTCAGGATGCTCTCTAACAGTTTTAATACATTTCTTATAGTGTAGTGACCAAAACTGCACGCAGGACTCAAGGGGGTCATAAAAGGAAATCAGTTTTGATAATAAGAGGACTCTTCTGTTACAAAATCAAGACGGCTGTTACAATGAAGATGTTGTCTTTCAGGTGATTTTCAATACCTCCTAGCATAATCTTTTCCATAGCTTTACCAGACACTAAAGTAAAACTGACAGTCCTGTAGTTCCAGGGTCCTTTTTTCTTGCCTTTCTTTAAAATTGTGACAAGGTTTGCCAGCTTCCAGTAAACTGGAACCACTCAGGATTCCCAGGACCACTCAAAAAATATTGAGAGGTTTTGTGATGACACAAGCTGGCTTTTTGAGAAGTCTTGAATGAGTCCCTTCACGCCCTGTAGATTTGTAGGGATCCAACTGAAGCAGCAAATCTTACATAAGTTCAGGGTTGACTGGGAGTTGATCATTCTCACAGTCATGGTCCTGCTTAGTGCACTGTGATCTAAGTGATTGACTTGGTCAGTCATCCATGCTGAAGACAGAGGCAAAGAATGCATTAAATGACATTGCCTTGTCGCTGTCCCTGATTGTGAAGTGACCAACCTCATCTTGTAAAGGGGTGAGGGTTTTTTTACACTGCTTATTGCCATGAATATATTTTAAAAAACTCTTTTTATTGTCCTCCACATTTCTGGCCAGCTTCAACTCCAATAGAACTTTGGCTTCATGAATCTTCTCCCTACAGTGACAAGCTGTGCAGAGACTGCATTCTTCCCATATCAGTAATGTCTCTTATTCTTGTCCCTGGAGACAGCAGACTTCCCTGTTAGCTGGGTCCCATCTGCATAAGGAGGCCCTCCATTTGCTTAGAAGGGTGTTTCCTATTACAGCTACCCTTCATTTTCCTGTTAACAGAGGTCTTGGTGCAGAGTACACGTGGTGTTGTTTTAGGAGGCCGCGCTATCCCAGAAAGACCTTCACCCACCTCATTGGTAGTCTGGCCTTCTGGTTCCAGAGCCTCATGTGTAATGTAGAGGTGCCAGTCCTACCTGTCAAATTCTGAGAAGGTGGAGGAACCTTGCTCCTAATTCATGCTGTGATTTGCTTCCAGTCTTCTTTTTTAACAGACCCTTATCTAATAGTCCTTTGACTAACCTGCAGGATTCTGAGTTCATCTGCTTCTCCACTATAATGGAGGTTCATGACTCCTGAGAGTCTTGAGGCTGTGAGTCTGAAAATAATCAGTGTCTCTTGCTTGTTCGCTCAAACACTATGTAGCCTGTTCACTCCTCCTGTACTGCTTCACCTGGTACAGCTCCTCAAGCACAACTCACCTTCTGTGAAAGGACAGTCAGCCCCAGCCTCACCAAGAGGCACCAGGCACTCGTGGCAGCCTCTGGCGTGGAGGGCTCCATCTCCCATCAGCAGGTGTGGCTGTCTGGAGTCTCTGGCATGGCTGCTTCAGTGAGTCCCACTGTTGGTTGTGATGGAGCTTTAGGGCAAGTCAGCGCCCTAACTGAGGAAGCTTGAACTAGTATGCTGATAAGACTGGGGTTTTTAATATGTGAGATGGCTGAAAGAGTGGTTTTATTTTTATTGTTTCAACTTGTGTTCTGTTCTTTAGAGTACCCGAGTAGCCTTAAACCACCTGGAGTCTGTGCCTGAGAAACTGAGCCTGTTAGAAGACTGCAGAGATATTGGAGTGAGAAAGATTTCATTTGACTCTCTCAGTACTTCTAAAATATTTTGGTTACTTAATAATCTCTATGAATGTACAGATAAATTGTTTAATAAGATATTTACAGTTGCATATGTATGTATTAAATAGACAGAAATACTGAATTTATTTTCATTTTTATTTGGATCTTTTTGAAATTATAAATTTAGTTCTAATTATTAACACTGCTCCGTAATGTGGACAAACATTGATAACTGAGCATAACAGGTCATGTGTTAATTGCTGTTTCAGAATATTTTTATGGAGTGGTAAATTCTGATATTACATGTTAAAAAAATGAAAATTTTATAATGAATTGAATTATGCCAGTTGTTTCAATATTTAATGAGTGAAGGTAGATTATCTTTACGGCTTTTTGTTTTGGTGCGGTTTTCTTGTTTGGTTGGTTTTTTGTTTGTTTCAATATTTACCTTGATGAGTGAAGACAGATGATCTTTACAACTTTTTGTTTTGTTTTGACATAATGACAATACTTGTTACTTATTTTCACAGCACCACTTTCCAATCAAGATGTGTTTGGACACAGTAGGACATATTGACAGCAGGGGTGACATACTGTCAAGAGTGAAAAGGCTTTAGATTTTCAGTGGCTAAGTGGCTAAACCCCTGTACCATAGTTACTTTCCATTTATGAAATGGAAATCAAAAAGAATTTGTAACTTCCTTGCACAATATAAATTTTAAATCAGTATTAAACCACAGATCAACAAATACATAATGATTTGCATTTTATTTGATATGTAAAATTTCTTAATCTGTGGTTGTCATAAATATTTCAAAACATACTTGTTTGGAGCATTGTTTATTTTGTGTTCCTGCATGAGGTCATCAGTTAATAATTCTACACCATTTTATTGCTGTCATCATTGAAAGATTTGGTAATGCATATACTGGTTAAAATGTTTCGTTTTTTTATGAACAATATTGTTGAGATGTATAGTTTTAATTTCACATTCCAGGTATCCCCAGAAGAGCTTACTTTGCTCTGACAGAGGTCTATGTTTACCTTCTGTTTCCACTAAAGGAAAAATTTTGTTCTCAGTAGGCATCTGCAATCTCCTTCACACTTGCCCTCTCTCAATTAACACTGCTATGAAATTACATTGTAATTTTGTGGTTTGCTCTAGTTATAACTTAGACAATATTTGTGAGATTGGAAGGCAAAATGTTTGGTTCAGTCAGGCTTTGTCCTTCTCCATCATGCTTAATTTTTGAAGATGATTTTCTGAAGATGAGCCCCTATCAACACAGTGTTTTGTTTAAGAAATAATTTATTATTCAAGAGAGCTATCCTTTGCCTTAGCTTTGAGAAGGATGTCATCCTTTGAGAAGGATGTCAGAAGTTTGGAGCTTCTTTACTGTTTCTATTTGCAAATAACATATTGGATTTTTTTTACAATAGCTAGCAAGTTCTTCCTTCAGTGTTTTCATAGGAAGGGAGAAGGAAGAGGATGTAAGCTTTGATAAACCTCACAGGTTGTCTAGGAGGTTTGTCAATTCAAGTGACTCATTGGCTAGTTCAGTGAAAAGCATAATTTTTTCTTGTTGAAAATATTGTTTTGTCCATATCCTTAGAACCTTTTTTTCTTCAAGAGCTTGTTTCTGTAGAGTTGAAATTAATTTTCCACCATTACAGAATTTTTCTTAGAAGGTATGATATTGCTGAAGTTTGGAAATCATTCACTAGTTAAGTTTAAGGCTATTTTCCTTTTGATCTACATGTATTTTAACATTTTTCTGTATAGAACATTATGCTTTTGTATGGTGCCTGTAGTTCAGCCTCTGAAAATTACTACTTAATTCGTTTTTGCTGTGGTGAAAATCTCTGATGATAGCTGTGTTTACAATAGTCAGAATTTCTAGCTACTTTTCACATTATGAAATCATCTAAATCTTTAAATGCATTTCTAGGAGTCCCATTGCCGAAGGGAGATGATTGAGGAGAGGTATATGAGGTATAAAGACATAGTGACTTCTTTGCAGCAGCAGCTGGAAGATTCAAAGCAAAGAGTCAGGCAGGTCAAGGTATGTGTGTGTACTCCACTTCTGTGCCCCACTTACTTTCAATCAGCAATACAACCTTGCCTTATTAACTCCTAGTACAAACACAGATTAAAATCACACATTAATGTTTCTATTTCATACAGCTGCCATGGCTGATGGCATGGCAAGTATATTGGCATGGCATGAAATTTGCTGAATTAAAGGTTGCCTTCATTGTAAGTGCCATGGATACTTTCCAAAAAATCTTTCAGCTTTCACAGTGTCTTACTACTCTGAAGTGTTTACCTGCTTTGTCAAATTGCTGTCTACAGCAATTTTTTAATTTTTCAATTTTCTCTTGTCCCTTCAAGTAAAATATAAAGAAACCCATTTCCCCTATAAAAAGGTTGACTAATTTATAAATTACATGTAGTAATTCTTCAGTAGTTGATATTTCCATTCTTTGCAAACAATTCTGTATGATGTCTCTTTCATACATAAATAAAATCCAGGCAAACAGAAGGGAAGTGATTTGCTGAAGGTCACTCACTGGACTTATAGCAGTGCTAAGCATGAATAACTAACTCCCTCCAGTGCTCTTCTTTACCAGCTTTCCTGTAATGAGTTCAACTTTCCAATTATTAACATGCTTTCTTTCCCTTACTAGCTTGTTCATTGTCATGTCACTGTCATTGTAATAGCATCTTACTTCAGCAGAACTATGATTTCTTATGGAAGTGATTGAAAAAAGTGATCAGATCTGAAGAATCATAGTAGTATTTCTGCTACATGTCTCAATCAAATCAGTTTCTTTGGCAATGCATCATACCTGTATCTCTAAGCAATTGAGTTTAAATCAAGGGTCACACACTCTATTGAAAAGATGTTTGTGTTCCCCAACTTATATGTAACCATCTTCCTTCTGTAAGATGAGGACATAATTACAGTATGTGTTTTAAAAAGTGGAAAAGGTAAAATAAATACAGAATATTTTATCCTAGTAAATTGCTGTTGTAAGATGATATTAAGTTACTTGGAAAAGCTGTCTTGCTCTTCTGTAAGAAAGAATTGAAAGGAGGAAACAGGCACAATCACTTTGCTGCTGGGGATAATCTTCAGTATCTTGAATTTCTCTTCCCTCCACACTAGCATTACTAAGTCAGTAGCTACTGAAATCTGGAAAACATTGAAAAGCTAACTGGAATGCAATCAGCTGATGGTAGAACATAAGATTGCACTAAGCTGACTGAACTTACTGAGCTTGTGTGATTTGAACTCAATAATCAGAATCCAGTACAAAGCTGTTTCCAAAACAATTCTCTTTTTTTAGACAACTGGGAGCATTTAATGATTACCATTTAGTCAGGCATAATTGGGTTTTTGCATGACATACAGTACTCTTTGCTGTCACGGCTGTTGCAAATAGAACAGAATGTTCAAAACCAAGTAACAGACGGGTGCTAATCTGATTTCAGTGATCAGGCTAGCTTAGACTAAAAAAAAACCTTTTTAATGCTTGCCTTTCTTACCCTTCTTTGAAACAAACTCAAATGCCATTTATTTATTTATTTATTTATTTATGTTACTGTTTGTCAGTTGGCAGTCTCAAAAATTGATTGCTGGAAGAGTGTAGGTTTGAGGACCAAAGCTGATTCTTTCTGATATTTTTGGTTAATGCTGTGTACATAGTGCCCCTAGACAGATATTTAACAGGTGATGAGAAAATCCATGTTTTTATAAAATTTTTATGTTGATCATTTTAGATGAAATTACTTCTGAAATTAATCTTTTTTCTCTGTTATGCTTTTATTTCTAGTCTTTCTTATAATACTTATAATACACTTGTTTCAGCTTGCCTGCCAACGTTGATCTCAGACAGGCATTATATAATCTTGTGTCCCAGTCTTTTTTCATTTTAAGGAGGAAAAATTAAACCAAAGTTGAATGTTCCTCTTAAAACAGGACTTTTTCTTTCTTTCTTTTGATTTCTTTTGTTCCCACTCAATCTTCCTACTTTTCTGTAGTCTTATCAGATGGCTTTAAAAATATCTGTTGCTTAGAAGCCCAGGAAAATTATAATTTCTATTTGTATGTTTTAAAATGAAAGATTTCCAGTAAAAAAAGTAGGCTGTAGTCTTGCAGAAGACCATCAGGTACAACAGTCTTGATTTTTCAACTAAGAAAGGGCAAAATAATAGTAGATAAAGATTAAATTGGTGGAAAATCCCATAAATATAACATGTTAAAAGAAAATAGCAACAGAAGCAAAATCAAAGCAGAAATCCAGAGGAAAACTACAGATAAATATTTTGATGTAGAAATACAAATATTTTAGGAGAGTTTCCCTGCCACAGACTATTGACCATCTACTCAAACACAGTATAACAGATGTAATTGTCAATGAAGCACATGACAAAAGTCACATTCTATACCTTAATATTTCTGTAAAGAGAAAGCCATTTTGTAGTGCAGATAGTGTTAGAAACACCTTTCTTGTTTAAAAGCTCTTCTTTTAAAGCATTTCTGGAAGCAGAATGGAAAGATAAAAACTTAAACTTTTTTTACTCTTTAAAAATTGTTATTGTGCTAGGAACACTTTAGGTATTAAGTCTCTCATCAGCACAAAAGGGGATTAATATGTATAATTCCCATTAGTCTTAACAGGAGTAAATCCTTCAGTGATGGAACAAAAGTTTACTGTGTCTCTAAATTAATGCAGATTTTTTTTCTGTTTATTTTCTTCAAACCTTAGTTATCAACATAAAATTAAGTATCAACATGAATGATAAATTGCAAGATGTTTTAACAAAATTCCCTGAGGCTGTTAATGATAAGAATTCAGTAGTAAAATTGTGTGTTTTATGAACTGATGCATTTATTCATTACTACGTCTTCTCATTTCAAGAAACTGAGTAATTTGGATACCAAGCCAAGCTTTTAATCTTATTTTGGATGGTATTGTAACTGGGGACTACTTGCTGTAGATCTAAAATAGATTTTTAAGGGATTTTTGTTTAAATGACCTTTTAAAATTTATCTTCTCTTTTTAGCTTATAAACCAAATTACTTTCCTCACCAAGACGATATGCTGTATGGGCTTACATAGTAACATTGTACTTAAGATTTAATTTAATGGTTTAACAAAAAAATTCAAAAGCACCTTTAGGTATTTCAATATGAGAAATCAATTAACTTTCCGTTTCCTCAGTGGCAGATAAAATATATTTATATTTATTACTACTTGTGGAATTTCAGTGAATTAATATGAACCATTCATTGGTGAGGAAGTCATCATTCACTGATGTCTGTCATATGGTATGTCCTGAACTGTGGATGTGATGTGAACAGGAAGGAGCATTTTTACAACATGCTGCAGTGGCAAAGACTTGCAATACTGCCAGTGCTTTTCTCAAGGTGAAGCAGTTTTTTGCAGACATTTTATGTGATGAAGTGGGGATAAAACTCATAAGCAAGTTAATTCGAATCTAAGTGCAATACTGAGAATTCAGAGAATTCAAATCATTCTTTTCCAGTGTTTCTGAAATCACGGCATATGTCTGTATGTGTGCTACTACTTTTTGTTAAAGTTTACAGCTGCTTGATAGTAACAGATAAAATTATTTTTATTTGGTTCCCATAGGATGTGCAAATGGGTTCTGAAATTTCTGATGCAGAAGTGTCTGCTCACTCTTCTAGTTGGCGAACTCAAAACAGCTTTTTGTGCAGCTCACTGCTTTCAAGTTCAGGTTGTAAGTATTATATCACATTAAAAAATCTCCAGGTAACATATTTTTTTCCTCTAATTTTTTTTTTCTTGAAAGAGTGAGACTCTACTTTTCAGAAAATAAGTACTGGAACCATCTTAAATATCCTTCTGTGTTTTAGTTTCAGATGCTGGATAGAAGTCTTTGCCTAGGAAGTACTTCATTACACCCCACTGACAGTTGCTTGGGATTTTTTACTGGAACATACAATATATTTTGTTTATCTAGGCCAAAGAAAATGGCTGCCCTTGAATTCTGAATCTCTGCTTAATGAGTCATACCTGTGTAAGCTGTGTAGACCCTCAAGGGACCAGAGAGATGTCCTCAAACATGGATTCTTTCCAAGATCTTTCATATGTACCAGTCATGTGTACCATGCTTGTGTAGCATTTTCTCAGTGAAAGTTGAATTCAGTAATTCTACTTCAATAGTGTTTTTAACTGTTTTTTCTCTACCTCCTTGTACATGTTCAACTTGTGTTCATGTGAAGTCATGGGAACTCTGATACAGCTGGGAAGTGCTCAATAAAACATAGAGCATATTAGGTCTTGATTGGGTACGTAGCCACATCTTTGCATGAATGTCAAAATTAACTTAAAGACCAGGTTTCTAAGGGGTTTTTGAGCATATCAGTACCTAGATATCAAAAGACTTCTCTTCAGAAGGGTATCATCTTCCATTTACTTTCAATATATCCAGTTTGTGTACTGGGAACCTATTTAGAAACTTGCATTCTATGTTGTGGTAAGTCCTATTTCAGGCTTCATTGCACTTTGAAAGCATTGCATCTTAGAATGAGTGCTGTGGTACATTACTGCTCACCACTAAGTCTTGAGCTGATCTGATGATGTTAAAGGTAATTGGTTTCTTTTCCTTTCAGAATCTATGGGTTGGTGTTAGTATGTTTTTGCAGAGCATACTGAATAACAATAGTGGGAATAAAAGCATAGACACAAATACCTTTGTATCACCTGTACTTCAGGAAGACTTTACCTTGACTCAGAGTTGATTTTTCTGTTTTCCCAAACCTCATCCCTGTCAAAGTCATGCAAATCAAAGTACAGCTAAACCTGGTTTGGGTATAGATAAGAAGTAACTGATGCCTCACAGAATGTTCAGATAAATGGCCTCTGGCAGTCTCTTCCAGTCTCAAGAATTCCAAAAGTGGTCACTGCAAAAATGTACTGATATTTAAAAATGCAGCATAAATGTTCCTAAAATATTACTATGTCTTTGTACTGCTTAAACTGAATTAAACAAGCTAGGACTTTGTTGCTTTAAAATTTTAAAATAAATTTTAGGCAGTTTTAAGAGAAATAGGATCTATGTGATCCGAATACCAATCTGATGAGATAGTGGTGATTCAATTCACCACTTAGTGCTTATGGCACTTAAATATGTAGATTAGTCCACAGACTTTGGTTTTTGACTGATTGTCACTTTATGCTGAATCTGATTTCTACCAGTCAAATGTGTATTTTGAAGATGTTGGTGTAGTTCTTGAGGACAGTGAAAATTCTGCTATGGTAATAGCATTAGGGAGATTTTTCAGTGAGTGGCAAATGAAAAGTCAGCTACTTCAGTCATGATAGTCACAAAAATATAGTGAACTTTTAATTTCAGTAATGATATTAATTAATTATCATTTGAGACTTTGACAGTGAAGTATAATTTGACATCTTTGCTCACAAACCTACTGTAGCTTTTAATAAATCATCCTATACATGTCATCATCTATTTTCTGTGATTAATTGTCTCCTTCTTCAGAAAAAGAAGTATGGATTTTTTTTCTTTCATTTACCTTTTGGAGAAGTTTGCAAGCCTTTGTGATTTATATTTCCCCATTCCATCTCTCTTCAACTTATGAAGTCTTACAGACTGTATATTCAATAACTAGTACTAGAAGCTTCCTTCCCAGTGTGGGTCTCCTATGACATTAGAGAGCACCTGGAAGGAGAGCAGACTCATTTGATAACTTATCTGTGAGGGAGATCAGGATTTAAGTGTAAAATTGGTTGATGGAAGAAGGATAAATAGTATGGAAAAATAAATAAGGGAACAACAATCTGTTTCCATATATATATATATATATTTACTAAAAATTTGCCAATGCAGCAAGCAGTTAAAAGGAAAGTAATTAACATCAACATGGCATCTTTTTTTTTCTGGTATAATTTCTGCTATTATAACAGCTTTTCCATTACATATTTTAAACATATTTTAAAATATTGAGGCAATGTACTTTTATTTGAGGAAACATTCAGTAGATGTGGTTTGCAGTCTATATTATTATGGTTGGTCCAGGCAGTCACTGCTAGTTGTTATCTAAAGAATAATCCTCAGAAACCGTTTTTACGGCCACTGTATTTTCCTGAAATTTTGAGTATAAAAATCCCCAGAGTTACACATGCTTTGCATTAGCCATGTGAGTTGAGTCTTGCCTTTCTCTTTGGACATTTCATTACTCTGAGGTTTTAACCTGGATGGTTTCCCAGAAACCGTATGTCTTAGAGGCTTTCTATTGTTGTTGGGAATTTATATTCCAGGGCTTCACAAGTCTGATGGACAACACTCTAGTGTCAACATGGTATGCAGTAGGGCTGATACCACATCTGAATAAAACAGATTTGTCCTGAATGTAGACTTTATTGTCAAAACAATTAACTCTTGTGCTGTCTTGCTGGTGCCTGTCTTTATCCTTCTATGTACACTTTTTCATAATTTCTTAAGACTATTTTTATTAGCATTTATAAATAATGTAATGTACTTACAAGTAAGAAGACATTACAGCATCACTGTGCTGTGGGCACCCCTCTAGAGCAAAACCTAGGGCTGCTTAAGCATAAGAACTTGGAACAACTGGAAACTTGACATCATCACTTAGAAAAATGCAAATTGAATTAGTTAAGAAATGAATTTTCTTTATGATTTTTCATCTTACTTCGAATACTGTCCACAGGAGGTACAACTGACATAGTGTACAGCAGCAGAGCTTTGAACCAATACTGAAAACTTTATGCTGAAAACTTTGAACTCACTGTTTCACCAATGTGCCAAACACAGTGATTTCATTCTTCTGAAACTGAAAACATCTCACTCCTCCTAACCAAACTGTGAAGTCTTGCTCCTTGTTAAATAATTTTTGTTTATGTACTGCTACAATTTTACTGGATTGTTAAAAATTACGCTCTGGATATTCAATAGGACCACTTTTCTTACATGCTTGTGCTATAAAGAAGGCCATTAGAAGACAGATATGTTGTATAAGCTACTGGCCACTTTCCTTCCCTTAATTTCTACCTTTTGCTAAATGTTTGGATATTTGACTTTTTTTCTTCAGCATTTTATTATAAGATCTTATATCTTATATTATTGTAAGATGATTTGGCAATTACTATAAGATGTTTTGGCAATTCATATTGTCTGGATTTTGATGCAATACAATATATTTAGAAATAAGCACTGTATGTGTACTCTGCTGTGAAGGTATATACACAGTATGACATTGTATGAGCCCCTGTTCAGTGTCACTTAGTGACTTAAGTCCATTCTATTGGTAAAGATATTCTTTCACAAGTTTTTTGACAGGTTTGTCTTATCTAAGCAAAAATTCTGGAAAAACAAATGGAAACTATATCTTCATGAAATATTTTTTTTAAAACAGAGTCTGCACTTCTTGTGTATAAGAAAGCTCATGGCTATGCCTGTGTTATGGAGTATTAAAATCTATTTCTATAGAAAACAGAGAATATATCCTCTTCTCAATTCATAGCCTTATGATTATTGAATATTTATTAATACCATATTACTTGTTGAATAAATTATAATATCATACAATGAAATACATGTTTTAAATAAAAATTTATGGCCAGTCAACCAAATCTAGGAATCATAGGTTTGAAAAGATCTCTATGATCATTGAGTCTAACTGGACTTAATGTATGATTCTGGAGATGTTTAATCACCTTTTTTGTGTGACTTATTTCTAGCACTTATGAAAGGGATTGTTCCTTTGGATACAAGTGGCACCAAGGAAGATTCTACTAATGCTGCTGCTAGTGAAATGAAGCTGCAAGCAGAAGGAGGAAAGCAATAGAATATTTTATGAAACCACACCAGTTTTCTCTGTGGTAAATTCCATTCCACTTTTTTTTTTTTGTTTTGAACAGTAGTAATTCCATCTGCTTTAGGAGTGATGCACCCTTAATGATTCAAAAATTGCCAAACACTCAAATGAAAGAGCACCAGGAGTGATTCTGATGAACTCTTGTGATAATTTAGGTGGCTTGCACACCAGAGGCTTTCTGGGATTTTGCTGTTCTCTTGTATTTGTTTCTGCAGTTCTCTTAGACTAAATGTATTGTATTCAGGAAATACTGTGAAGTGAAATACCTGTGACATTAATCTTTGCTATGAGCTTATTTACCCCTGTACAGGAATTGTTCTGACACTTGTTTTTTTATTATGTTTAATAACATAATTAATAATGAAAAAATATTCAGAAATTGCCTATTACTGTGAGAGAGAGTAATTACACAGTGTTGTACAAACACATTTGTGATTTTAGGTACCTCAGTTTGAAAAAATCATTTAAGAAAGAAGTGATAAAACAAAATTTTCTCAAAGCAAGTTAAAACTCACATCTTGGTTTCAGGTTCAGCATATATGTATTATAAGTTGTCTAGAATTATTCTTTTGTCCAGAACAGGTTTATTAGATGGCTTTAGTTAGGCACTTTAAAGAATCTGAATCTCACCCATCTGTATCAAGAGTGTTGAAAGGCACTTCTATGTGGCTGTGAAAATTTTAAAAGCAATGTTTAATGTTCATTTATTTATTCTGTTTTGTTTTCTATTAGAGAAGATGTTTTATATTGATTGTAAAATACTATGGAAATACAGTATTGCAGATTTGTATTTCTAAACAAATTGGACACAATTTTGCATTACAGTGGTCTCAAAGAGCAAATCAAAGAATAATTTTCTGTCTAAGAATTCTGCTGTCTAAAGAAATGAATGTGTTTCTGATGGTTCTTTTTTATTTTCCTCTCAGCTGCTTCTGACTGGATCACTGCTAGCATGCCTTAAAAGGTTTGCCAAAGCTATCAAAGTACTGTAGCAATATTAACACCATTCAAACCATTTTGTTTTGCAGACTTCTGTCATATTTAGAAAGCCTATTTCTTCTCTGAAACCCTATTATTTTTTAGCACTGTAGGTGACTCGGGTATAATTCACAGGCCATAATGTGCCATCTCAAAAGAGGACTCTTTTTTTTTCCAATACTCTCATGAAGTGGTCTGTAGACCCAGTGGGTGCTCTGGACAGTGCACTTCCTTGACTATCATCTTGTGTTCAGCCTGTTTCAAACAGAACAACATGCTGAGAACATTAAAATCAGGCACAGAAATGAGAAAAAGTTTGAGTTTATTCTCTGTTCATTTTCCATGAACTTAAATCGCTTAAAACTAAAAAAAAAAATAAAAAATCTGACATAATGAAAAAATGAAAAAGTTTGCTTTACCTTTTGGTGTGTATTATGCTGTGAATGGTAGCACTGACATTGGGTTTTTGCAGATTTCTGGCACATCTCCTGATTCAGAGGGTCAAGAAAACAAAACAGGCACATCCATCTGTTCTGATCTCAATGGCCATGACAGGAACAAGAAAGAAATCAACAAATAAACTTCTGCTCTCTACAAAGAGTGTTGATGTCATGAAACAGTGTTTAACTCAAGCCACAGCTACTATAAACTAAACTTACTTTAAGTGGATCCAGCATTTGTAATTTATTTTTTTTTATTAGTTCAGAGCAGAGGTGGAAGTATGGCATTTAAAATATTTTAACTGGTTTGGTCTGCTGAAACTTAAAAATTGCAAAATTAAATGTCACCAGCTTGCAGACTTTATGGTACCTACAAATTATGGCCAAAACTTTAAAATATATTATTAAGCAGTACATCATGTTCTCAAAACACCTTATGTGGTAGCCAAGTCTGGTGCATGGATTGCTGATGGATAACTGTTTTACCAAAGTTTAAATGTTTTTGTGACATGAAAGTAGGTAAATAAATGGGCCTTTGAGAGTCTTAGCTGAGAAGTAGTACCAGAAATACAATGTCCTGTCTTTTACCTAAGGAATTTTTAAAAACATTTATGTATTTATACATTTTTTCCTAACTTGTAACTTAGAAATCTGAAGTATGTATTCTTAAAATAGGATCACTACTGCTTTATATGGTTAGAAAACTAAGGACAAGCAGTGTGATCTCCCTCACATCAGGTATGGAATCAACTTCTGTACTATATAGGACAGAAATTACTACTGAGTGAACAATTTTACTTTAAAACTTTAAGTATGTTCAGTGCCTAGTATATTTGCCTTTGCCCATGTGGCTGGGTTTTCATCTATTTTATATCCTTTTATAAAATTTTCTAAAAGGTGTGGAAGAACAGAAGAGATGTCAAACCACATATACACACACACGCACACACACAGAAAATATTCTTACTGAGTAGACTTATGGACTCCAAAGCCAGGAAATTCTTTCTTAAATTTACCCTCTTGGCATGGCAGTCTAGATAGCATGTAATGTTTGTCTCTCTTCCACCTTTGATAAAGGTTCATATTACAAAGTGAATTTTGTTTCCTCTTTACTGAAGGCTAAAGTTCCATTCATGACATTATGTAAAACTGTCCCTTTGTGGTTTAAGAAATAATATTTTTTCCATATTGGTCTGAAATAATAATCTTCTGTACAATTTCAGTTTTTAAAGTAGAAAAGCAGATAATTTTTAAATAAAACCTTTTGTGTATTTCACATCCTAAAAATTGCCATCCCTTCTGATAGCCAGTTTTTTATACTTTAACCCTTTAATGGCCTGTTACTAATTTCTTACCCAAAGCAGTGGTTTTCAGTAATCAAGAACATGGTATTGCATACACAAAAAATGATGTTTTAAGTCTTTGTTCTGTTTAGCTTTTGGTAAATCAGGCAATTTTTAATGTATGTACTAAATACATACATATTTTATAGGCTAGTATCAGGCATTCTATTTTTTTAAAATGCTGTACTGAAATACAGTGCTTCAATATTGTGCTTTCAAAAATGCATTGGTCCTCTATTTTAGCATCAAATAGCTGTCACATGAATAAGCTATAAATTTTATGCCCTTCAGTTCCTATTGTTTTACAGCGGACTTGAGAGTACTTAATTACTTTTGAGATTATATTTACTAAATAGACAAAATAATTGCTTTTTATTGTGTAATTATGTCATCCTAAGAAGAAATGTCAAAATAAAAATAAAAAATAAAATTTTACAGTGCAAAAAAAAAAGCAATTTTATTACATTTACTTCTCAAATTTTTCATGGAAACCAGTCTTCAGTGATGGTGAAAATACTCCTTGGATATTCAAAGTTCAGACACATTTTTACTAACTATTACAGCAAAGTAAATAAAATATATTAAAAACCCATACAAAAAAGAAACAACTATTCTAAAATACATTTTTGAGCTAAGGAATCTACATATCAGTTCATCTCTGGCTTGCAAGGCATAGTCTCTGCATTGGGTAGCACTGTCTGGTTTTTCATGAATGAAAATGTTAGTATTACTCTGAAAAGAAATCAGTAGGTATTTTTGATACACTGATTATAGTTTTTATGGCTAAAAATGAGAAGTCTGCAACCTGGATGTGCTCTCATATCTATAACATGCAGGAAAAATTTTCATAAATTTTTGTGACATTGCTTTTTACAGTTTAATTTTACAGTACCTGTATTAAACTCTTTGTGTCTGCAGTGTGTTAGTAACAAATTTATCTTTCTCTAAGCCCTTGTCACCCTACAGAAGTAATTGATACTGAAGTTAATATGAGCTGCAGGTCAATATCTCACAACACAGCCTTGTCAAAAATGGATGTGCAGGAGGACATCATGCAAAGTTCTGTGATTTTGATGTAACTGTAGAATTTAGAAGCACTTACAGAGGAAAATGAACAGTAGAAGGGATGGAAAGCAATTAATGATTAAATTAAAATTTCAGAACACTTCTATTCTTGTTGCCTTAGCTTAATATTAGCCTTATAGCTAATATTTACATCTGAATGAAAGTTATCCCTTAATCAAATTCCATCTTGGATAATTTTTTTTTTCATGATTAAGTACTTAAGTACTTTCTGCTCTAGCACAACTCAGCTCTTTACTGTACGCATGTCTGGGGTACTGTGAATATGAATTTATTTGCTTTTCTATGTAACTAATTAAATTAGATTTTAAATATGAAGACTATTTTAGTGCTCTGTATGAGAGTACAACATAGCAGAATCCAGTAACCAAGTTATTCAAAAATCTGCAATGTTTCTGGGAATGTTGACAGCAAAAATAACGGACATTGCTCTGGTTAAAATCCAGCAACATCCAACTTTTATCATTTGTGCAAACAACAATAGCTCTCCTGTTTCAAAAGCTGAAGTTTCACTTCTATCATTTTTCTGGCTGAAATAATGAGTTGTTTTTTTTTTTTTTTTCTCTTTCCCTAATAATGACAACATTTGTATTGTGACAATATAAAGTGATGATATTTTTAAATTTCTAGTATTTTTATTTGGGAATCTAGTGTGTGCTGTTTGAAACGAAATATTTTTGGATTATGGTTATTAACATGTTTTTGTTAAATTATTAATTTAAAAACAAGAACTGCATAGAGATGTCTCTTTTAGGATAATTTTGCTGTGTGTTTTTAGGCACATGGCTCCTTGATAGGTGTTTTATGTAAGTACAACAATTGTTCTTGAGTAGTCTGTTATTTTCATCTCTCTTCAGACCAGAGTTGTTTTGATGTTAGACTGCTTTTCTCATCTGCCATCTGCTGTGCACTAGTGTGTCAGAAGACATACCATGATTTCTTCACTTACCCACAATCAATAATTTTGGTAGTTTATGTTCCCATGGAATTACATTAGTGTTGATGGCAGTTGTTTCTTACAAGCTCTTTTCAAATTAACAATGACACTCTTGTTTTTTTGCTAACATAAAAGGAAATGGACTAACATCAGGTCACATGCTGTCTCATTTTAAAGATTATTCCACAGGCCAAAGTAAATGTCTCTTACTACATTTTTGTATATTTTCTGATTGCCAGCATTGATTCTGCTATCAGTTTGTAGAAGGAAATGGGAAAGGATAGACTTTGCTTCAATAACCCTGAAATATAATTGATTCTAGGCAAAAAAAAAGAGACTACAACAAATTTAGGACATCTAAGTGCTTAGTCTAGAACCTAAAATACTCATATTAAAAAGTGTATTTCTTCAGTGTGTTAATATTAAATCATCCTATAAACAGTTGTTGACACCTAAAATATTTTTGAAAAGTGATACTGAAATTTGCTAAATGTGATCAAAAAGATTTCTGTGTCACTTACACTGTTAAACAAGCATGGAACTGGGAAACAGCCCAATTTATGTTTCTGGCATGAGGCTCTTCACAGAAACCAGCAGTGATACAGTTTTGTACTTGGTGTGGGAAATGAGGAAGATGAGCTGTGTTCTGCTGGTGGCCAAGAGGACAGTTTGCATCTGTGGCTGTTTGGTGCAGGGAGCTCAACGTGTGCACCATTTTTATTGAGGCTTTCACTGCTGGGTGCAGCACTGACAGCACCATTTCACTCAAACAGCTGCAACCATGAAGACATCATGGAGCTGGCAGAACTTTTGTTACATGTTTTGACTAAAAGAATGTCAACAAGTCCATCAGAAACCTTGGAGCTCTTTTGTCTTCACTGGAGCAGTCTCCAGTGCAGTCATAAAGCTGGAAGATGCAGAAACCTTTGTTCAATGTGTGCTACATCAGCAGGGAGGCTCACTAGCCATGGAATGTGAATCCATTAGGATGTTGTCCTTTGATCAATTAGAGGTCTATAAATTAACAAAAATCTAATCTAAAAACTTGTTTAAAGTGAGACAAATTATTATTATATGATCGTCAAAAATCTCTGCAAATATGAACAAATGAAATATCACAGTCAAGAAACACTTCATTTTTCCAGAATGTAATTGTTTAAATTTAAGTAGAGTGACAGACTGAAATGAAGCTCCTGAATATGTTAATCAACAGATATCAACCCACTTTGTATCATTTCTTAGCGTGTCAGACTTGCTCTCTTTGATTTAGACTTAACTATGTTTCATACTTAGGGTAAGGTTGTTATGTGTGCTGTGCACTGGGTAGCAAAGTTGAAATAATTCCACTGGAGGCAGCTGATGTGCTGCCGAAGGAATACAGGCTCTTGCAGTGTATTTTAACAAACAGCTCAAATGTTCAAATTTCTCCTGTGGTATTACATTACCAGAAGAAAGCAACAAATAGAAAAATACTTGAATTGTAGGTGAGGGTGTCAGTACAATAACAGTGTTTTACTGAGGTTTTGAAGGTGTATCACTTTTAAGGCTGACATTTCTATGTGTACTTACTAGCAAATGCTGATATTCTATTTTTTTTTCCTCTTGGGGCTTATGAGAAGAAAATATATTATTCGCTTTTGATGTGTTTCGCCATTTCATGCTGCCAGTTTCTATTTAATTTGGGGTTTGCTAAAAAAAACAACCATCTAATTCCGATACTTCATTACAAGCACTGCTAATTAAGTTAGTTGATACGTGAGGCACTTTCCTCCAGACCTTTTGTTTTCATTTCATTTTAATGAAATACAGTGGTTTTTTTGCAGTTACTATCCTAAAACTGGAGCAGAATTATTCTTGTGAACTAGCATTTTGGTTGGGACATTTCAAAACTAAGATTGCCCAGGCAATTCATACACATAACACTGAAGATATTACATCATATTTCCCAGTCAACTATTGTCACTGCAGTATAGTATAAGGAATCTGCAGAATTTCAGCAAATAATATGGAAGTGTTTCTGTGCTGGTAGGAAGTCGGAAAGGTCTGTTTAATACTTCTAAACGTTATTGTATTGGTTAATGTGATAGAAATAGGTATAGTGGGATGAAATTCCTCAACATTGAATTATTTCTTGAGATAAAGTCCTTGAATGTTTAGCAAGGAGTCCAGCTCTTCATACATGTTGAGGTTCACCTTACTGTAGTAACCAGAACTATTGCATTTTCCTTCAGACTTGATTTCTGAAATGTAAAGGTGTGTTCAGACTTCTAATATCTGTGTAGGCATCAGGTATATCCTGTCCTCATAATTATGTCTCTTTCTTATAGACATTGACTTGTATAAACATGTTCATACAGTGTAAAATTTTACTGCTCAAAAAGAAAGATTACCTTTTATTCTTGGAAATCCTGACTGCAGTAAAGGTAGCAGAGGCCTTGTCTTTAGTATCGGAAAAGGGGAGAGAAATATTTTCTTTGTCTGTTTTTTCATTGCATTCTGAAGGTTTGCATGTCTGCAATATGTGTTGGTCTGATGAACAACAAATGTTTGCTGAAAAATACATGATCTTATAAAAATCATATGGTAGCACACTCCAAAACACTTGGAATAATTTGACACTATCTCATTTTTATATTTTAATTTTTTTCAGAATTTAAGAAATGAGATTTTTAGTTTATTTAGGTTCCTGTATTTTTTTCAAGAAGACTAAATCAAAGTTAGTTATATAATGAAAACCATAGTACTTCTGATAACATCAATCCAAGGTTATGGAATTTGAAAAATTCTGAAATGTTGCAGCCCTTTGTTCCACTTTTATGTGGTCTACTACAGCTTTTTCAAAGAGGCCATCTCCAAGGAGAGATTGTTCATCTGTTAATATGTATCAATTGTGTTTCACACGCGTGACTAAATGTTTTGTTTCATATCAGTTTTTCAACTGATCTAGTAATTTAATGAGTACCCAAAATGGGGATTTTTATGTGTGTAGGAAGAAGCTAGTTATATCTTACATCTAAATTCCAGTACTGCTGGTATTCTTTTTTAACAAAAGATTCACAAAATAAAACCAGTTTTGACTTTTTTGTCCTATGATATTTTAGTTCCAGCATAGCTTCACAGGGCATTTGCAGTCCACTTTTTCCATTATGTGCCATCTTCAGGGAGGATAAAGGTTCAGCTTGAATATCTTGAGAAATATGTAATGAAATAAAAAAAAATATAGAACCATTTCGGTTGGAAAAAACCCTTTAGATCAAGTTCAGACAAACTGCTGCTTGACTATTACTTCCTGTAAATCACATGGATGCACATAAAAGTAAGTCTACAGGTTGGATTTTCAGAACACTTCATGCAAGTTTAGGAACGATGCATTGTAGAAGTATGAAAGGAAGAACTGTTACTATGTTGGTTTGATGCATACGTCCTTACCAACCTGTGAAATTTGAGGCACTTGGTTAGACACAAGCTGTGGCTCATGTCACACCAGAACACCAATTTTATTGTTGAGTTGCTGCTCTGACTTTAGAATGTCTGTGCCTGATTTATATCAATATAAAGCCAGAATGAAATCTCATGCAGAAATAACAAAGTACTAAGGGCTGAGATCTTGTGAAGTGATTGCAATATGGAGTAAATGAAAGCTGTCTTTAGTCCTCTGAGTATGTTATTGCAAACTGAAAGCTTGGCACAGTCTGCAGGTATGTTTAAGTTTGGTTAAATCTCTACTAGGAAAGTTCATATGTTAATTTAACGTCAACATTTGTACCTACTTTCTGCAATTAGACTATAAAATGTTAGCCAATGAGGCAGTAACAAAAATATCAAACTACGTTGCTCTTTTGCTGATTTGGGACTTGCTCCAAGCAATTCCTGAAGGCAAGGTTGCAAGCCTTTGTTGCATCTCAGGAAATACTTAGTACCTTTGCAGGATCAAAGTTGCTAGCTGTACTTGTAATTTAAAGTATAACATAAAAACTTGTCATTTTTGTAAGCTAACATAATAAATTATTTTTCCAAGCATCTGTATTCATTTACCTAACATTGCCAAACTTATGTAAAGG